GGGGAGGGAGCTGGAACCGGTTCTAAACGGCACTGTAGATTTGTGGAACCTCTTCTATAGAAGAGGTTAGAACTGGCAGGAACCCACCCCTGGTATTTATTTTAATTTTCAATTATGAAGGTTTAATTTTCACAAAAAGGTGGGTCTTCTAGAAAGCCCAGTACTTGCTGAAATTTCAAGGGGTGAAGTAATAGCGGTCAAACCAAATTCAAAAAGGAATTCAATTCAGAACTTCCATATTTTAGCCAAAAACCGAGTTAAAGGTATAGAAAGTCAAATCCACCTTTCCCAATAGACAACTATAATTTACTTAATGGAAATATCCAACAAAAGCTTGCCAGAGAAAAGTGATTCAATTATAAATGTTTTTGAAGGAATATAAATGGAAAGACCATTTACAATATAATACATTTTCAGACTTAAATTCAGTTTAACCAAACTCATATTTATTCCAAATACTCAGTTCTAGATCACTTGAAAACCTTTAGGAAAGTTTTTTGATATTAATGAATGAGAGCATAGCTGAATCAATGCCAACCCCAATTATACAAAAAATACTACCAATAATAATTATTACTATCAAAATACCAGTTAGTATCAAGTCTGATTTTGTAACATAACTAGACATGCTATCATATAATAATGCAGTGACCTTAGGAATTGTCCTGCATAGTGTATTTATATCATTATTTTTCTTTAGCTCTGCAACACATTTTCTGGAAGTTTATTAACTAAAGATGCATTGTAAAATAGAGACCCTGGTGTCTCTCAGTGAACTTGATCCAGCATCTGTGCTTTACCTTAGCAAGCCAAAGAAGGAATGCTTTTCTTCTACATATCTTATAGGCCACATGTCCCATGTATTATATGTTCAGCTGCTGCTGCTTTCATATCAGGAGTTGAAAAGAAAGTTGTATTAGGTTTCAGAAAACACCTGTTGTTCAGAAAACTGTCAGATACCTCACTAACTGGAGGAAACATTATATTATTTCATGGAATATGCTTAGAGTATTTTTAAACATAATCTTATGCATAATTATGAGGGAGAAACCCAGTGAATTGAATTGAACTTTTAAAGTTAAACATTTGTAAGGTCTCACTAATGTGGTATCTATGTCCAACTTTGTGAATTTAATTTACCCAATGTGATCCGTTTACCTATACTGGGTTCTCAGTTGAATTAGGAATTTAAGTGATATTGATATTTAATAGGTACAATATATTTTGGCTGTTTATTTATCTGTAGTTTTTTAAATTTCTGTCTAGAAATCGTAAATGTTAACAGCTAAATTGAAAACTTCAAGCATAGGAGAGCAAGACATAAAAGTGTTTTAATTAAAATACCTTTAATTTATTAAAGCCTATACTGAAAACAAAACCAACTTTTTTGAATCAAAAATCATACTACTTCACATGGAACCTTTTTGGGGCCAAAAGAATTGACAGGGTTGGTGTCCACCCACCCACATGTATATTTTAAAAGGATTTTTTTTATTCTTAAATGGTTCCCTCCTCCTTATAAATAAAATAAAATAATAAAATACATAAATAAATCCTTTAATAATATTTTTAAAATTTTTTTATTTAACTTGTTGAATTCAGCCATTGTGGAAACGTTGAGCTCTGGCTTGGCACAGGCTATGAAAAACGACAGCCTATGTTGCATATAGCACATACCAGCAAGTTTATTTCAGCCACAAATCACTCAACAAAGTTAGTCCCTCCAAATTGGGCTATGGAGGAATTTGGGATTTTCTTTAAGAGGTGAAATGGGTGCCAACCATCTCACCTTTTAAAAATTTGCAAGCTATCCTTAAAAACCAAGGTTACTTGGGGTTCTGTCCATGTCTGTTTTTGAAGCACAGTACAGCTTTCATTATGCATGCAAAATCTATTGCAGTTGTTGGATCACCAAAAGTTTATTTCTTAATTTCCTTGTCCGACAAAACCATAAGGATGTAATACCTCTTTTATTCAGTATCTTGTTTCTAATCCGAACTCAAATCTGTAATAAATAAATTTGAATTTTGATCTTTCCCCCACTTATTCAGTCCTCTTAAAAGGTTTTATGGACCATGCAAAAAGCAGCGAAGGTCCCCATAAGCTTGTACCTCACCTTATATACAGTATTTGAAAAGAAAAAACCCAGAATGGACGACTCTTTTTAATTATATTTGGCGATAGCAAAAATATCATTCTAAATTACTTGATTAGTAGGTAAGTGTTTTGAAATATCACAATTCAGTTGCACCAGTTGCGCCCCTACCTGAACCGGGAGGCCCTCACAACAGTCACTCGGGCCCTTGTGACC